ACCAGAGCTCATTTGTGTGTGTGACCCTTATTATTTACTAACATTCTGCAAGGCATCTTTGAGTTTTATGTGCATGGATCAGCCAGTTGGTGGCACTGTTGCTTTGTACCATGGAGGTCCGGGATTCAAATCCCAGCCCACACTGTCTGCATGGAGGCATGTATGACCCTATGGTTTTGTGGGCTCTGTCCAGCTGCATGACCGTTTTTTTACTTGGTTTACATTATATTTCGAATTCCTAACCGCACTTCCTCAACAATTTGAAAGATTATGCAACTAAGATATGTTTCTACATTAGAATAATATATCATTTTAAATCAATTATGCAAAAATATTTGTGGGACTAAATGTGGGAAAAGACTTCCAGTAGCCACTGGTTTCGATCTGACCACCTCCTTTTATTGCTTTGTTTATCAAGGGACGTCTCGAAGGAGCAAGCTGTTCGGAACCTTCCCGGGAAACTACGTGAAGCAGCTATAATGATGATTCCAGACTCCACTGTGGCTCCACCCCCTGCTGTGACACGTTCATGGCCGTCAGCAGCACAGCCCCGCCACAGGATGTCAGCAGAGACCTGAGGCTGCAGCACACTTTGCAGACAGAATCTTAGCTTCAACTAGCCATCTTTAATGAAAGACTTCTACAAGATAATGCTGTTTTTTTAATCTTCTCTTTTTACCCTTATTTTTCTATTATGGACACTCGAAATTTGTGCTCCTTTAATGTTTGACGACTGGAGGAAGGATATCAAAGGACCACAAAAATACTTTCCTTTCTATTGGAGCTGTTTTAAGGGCAGTCAGAGCACCAGAATCAGCTCCACAGTTACTAAAATGTTCAACACTTCAGCAGTTTATTTCAGTGTTCACTTTCAGGAATCCCTGAGAAAATGAAGTGCAGAAAGTGTTAAGAAAGCAGTATTGTGTTAGACTTGTACTTTGGGGATTTTAACATTTCACATTTACTATAGGCTGTGCAAATACTACACTATCAGGTATGTAGGGGTTTAGTTTATTGCCGAGGCTCCCAGCATAAATCATAAAACATTTTCAAGTTGTTGGCTTTTGTTTTGAACATTTTCCATTTTAGCGTTGATGCACTTTAACTTTATCTCCACACAAGCTTGTGTGCTTCCTTTCATTTCCCCCTTCAGATTTATGACAGCGGTTCCTCAGACTGCAGCACTTCAGGAGGCAGTCGTCCAGAAAATGTTGGCAGGAAGGTTGTTTACCTTTTTAGGTATTTATTAGAAGATGAACTGTTGATCAAATTGTGTCATGAGATGATGAACATGATATTGTTTTCTTTTTTTTGTAGAAGACATTTTTTAACATCTGGTATTTAAAGCATGGTTCTTTCATTTTCAAGGATCATTGTGCAGTTGGATTGTTGAAGATGCAGGATGAGATCACGTATATGTTGCTGTCAGTGAGTAGTAGTAATATGTGTGCATATTATATGGAATATTTGCTATTTTCCATCCTAGCTAAGCTGTCTCACAAAGTGAACACCACTTCTTTGTTTTAGTCGTTTTTCTTATTCCTCATTTATCATTTCACAACAGATGGACACTGACAACAAAAACCGTTGTTAAAGCACCTTAAGATATGTTATTCATCATCGTCCTTCATGTCACTCCTTCCCATTCACTTCGCCAGCGGGTGTGAGAACACTTTGTGTTTGATTGTTGTGTTTTTGTAAGCCTTTTGTATGAGAGCTGCACTCCAGCCAGCATCCACATGCTTTATAAACTCAGCTGTTTTTCACCCATCATCACATTTGATTCCTGCTCTTTTTTCCTCATTTTTTTGTTTTTCATCTGTAGGCGTGACGTGAATGGTGCGTTCGATTTGTACTCAGAAGTCAGAATTTCCCTAAAGTCGAAGTCGGGAAAATTGAATACGTAGATTGTCAAAATGTTCATGGTTTTCAAACCTGGTGTATAAAACATAGTCAGAGTTACAGGAACAAAACGTTTACTTGCAATAGTTTGTGCTTCATTAAAAGGGTTCAAGAATTTTTCAAATCTGCATAAATCTGGAAACAAAACTGTGCATATTAAATACGAAAAAATATTTAGCTTTTCCGGATTTTGTTCTTTATTCCAGCATCTGAATGATATAACAATTTGTAAAACATTGAGGGCTTGTGACATTGATTTATTGGTGGACAATATCCTTTATCTTTGATTCATAGCCTATTTTTTTAGACTGACTTGTTCATCTTTTTGGTATTTAAATTACTTGATTCAACACATAGATTAATACACACGCAATCAAAGAAAACAAATGCAGGCTGATTGCTATTTTTAGTTCAGACATTTTTGGTTGTAGATCAATAATTTAAGGTGGATCTGTGGCTCTAAATTGGGTTGGTTTTAGATTAGAAGTCCTACATTAACTGCAAGCATATCTGGCTGTCTTAGACATTGCAGTTCAATGTTTATGACGTCCAAACATGTCACTGAGACTGAGAATGTCTAGTTTTATGCGTTAATTCAGCTGTAACAACTGTAAGACTTTTATTCCTGCAACCTGTTAGCAGTTAGTTATGTTGCATGATGTCTGACTGAACAGCAATCAATGGTGAACAAACTCAAAATGAGACAACGCGCATGATTGGCACTTATTAGCCTCTTCCTTTAATATTTGAGTCCATACAACCGCAAGAAAACATTAGCTTGTGTTGCTAGTGGCTAGCAGCATAACAATAAGCAAAGAACTGTTTTCTGACAAGAATATGTTGGACTCCAGTATGTCATCGTTCACACACCTGACTTCTGAGGCAAATCGAATGCAGTTTAAAACAGATGTATTTAAATAGAGTCAAGGAGGTTTTGATGTTCAAGTTCCTGTAGGTTACGCTAAGGTGGGGACTGCTGCCTTATTTATGACTCACTACTTTAATAGCCATGTACATGTAAACCTCTTCTGTGATGCAAAAAATTATTTATGCGTATGTAGTGTAGAAAACGTAGAAATATGATAGCGTGCAGAGAAGATACAGTCTTCAGTGTTTAGGCCTCCTGTTTACCTTTGATAAGAGCAGAACAGATTTCTGCTCCAAACACATTCATTTTTCGTGTTTTCAGATGTAATGAAATATTAAATTATATATGAGGCTCAATTTAGGTATTTCTACAATGTTGTAGCACATCTGGATAATCTTTTGCGCTGTATTGATGATAAATCCAAATGATAGATGACATGATTTTCACCGGTTAGCTTGATAGACCAGCTTTATTGCTGACTGAAAAGAAAACAGAGTATTTAATGCGTACTGATTTATAAAAGCTGACCCATATAGACACAAAAACCATTTGCTCAATTTAATACAATTTTGCATATCTAAAGGTTGTGTTTACCTGTCACTAAAGGGGAAGCTTTTTTGGTAAGCAAGTTTTCAAAGCCTCGAGCCATTGCTAGGTGATGTGTTATATTTTTTATGGTGAAAATGACTTTTGTTTGGTTACTTTGCATCAAAAAGCCGGTGTTATCCTCATACAGTAGCTTGCTGTATCTTGGTCTATCAGATATGGAGATTAAGCTGGCTAGTGATATTTAACCCCGAATGAATAAAACAACATTTTTCAAGGCCTAATTTGAGTTCCATTGAATTATTTTTAGGTAAAAGTGATCAATAATTGATCTGATCTCTTTATAATGTTCAGAAAAAAAATATAATGATGAAGCATTTGGAGAAGATGACTGATAATTAGTTTTAAGCTGGATGTTTGGAGTGGCTGTTATGTCGTCATCATTACTATGTCACATCTGAGATCCAGATCCTTTATTTTATACATAACGTACATTGTACAATTTAAACCAGATATTTAATAGACAAAAAATACACAACAAACCATAACTGTCATGGTCTGACATTCCCAAATTGCTGGCAACATTTTCAGACTACATTTCCAGCGTAAACTGGTGGAAAAGATCAAACTGCAGCTCCTCCATCCTTAGGACAGCCTTCCTGTTATCTGCCTGTCTTGCTCTCTTGCAGTCTCTGTGAGGCGTTTCAACATGCAGGAAACAGTTTTGCTACTTGAATAAATCTGTTATGGTGTGGTGAAAGAGGAAGACATGTGGAGGTTCAACTCTTCCACTCTGTGACTTATATTAACATTCTCATCCAAAGCACTCAAAAAAACAAAGCAATTAGCACTAAAAATATTTTTGAAAATATGCTCAGATCTTTGTGCAGATGTTGCTTACTTTAGAAATGTCGTGTTGTTTTTTTCACATGGACACATCTGTGGCCTGCAGATCTGAGGTGGATTGTTGTTTGTTTACAGGAAAACTTTATGCACAAAAGCATTAGGGAACATAAACAAATTAAGATGGTTCTAGAACGGGTTATTGAATACTGCAGGAGGCAGTTTTTAAAAAAAAAAAACAATCTGATAACAGAGAAAAGAAATGAAGTTAGCTGTTAGTGAACAACCCACATAAAAGTGGTTTGTTATTAATGATGCAGACTGGGAGGCTTCAGTCCCATCCAGATCCAAAGTGAGTGGAATGTTCCTGAGAGCCCTCCAGGACCTCAGAGAGCCTCAGAGCCTTCAGAACCAAATAAGGACCGGAGCAGCTGGAGCCTGCAGAGCAGCAGCAGCCTGCCAGACCTGCAGCATCTGTGGATGAAAACGCAGGCAGCTGACGGCTTCTGATCGAGGCTGGGATACGTCTGCAATGTGTTTACAAGTCACCCTGACGGGGAAGAGACTCTGTTCAGAACCATAAATAATCAGACAACCATCTTTCATGAGTCATCTGACAGGTTTACCTTCAGTGAGGCAAAACTCTGGCTTCTGTTGGGAGAGAAGAGGCTGCAAAATCAAAAAGAGAATTAAAAGTCCGTAGGCGAGCCTGACTTGTTGCAGACTAATACTGTGTTCCTAAAATCTGAGCGGTGACCTCACTGTGGGGGTGGGTTCGCAGAGTCCACTCCCCTCCCTCTGAGTCTCCCCTCAGCATAGTTCATAATCTCCATCACTTTGAAACGTCTCCGCTCTGGAAGCGTGACTGCAGCAGCGTGCTGTTGTCCCAACAGCTGGTAGATTTTAAAGGGCCATGGCATTCAACGTCGTCCTGGATGGACCCCCTCCCTGGGGGTTTCGACTGACAGGAGGAAAGGACTTCAACCAACCACTGACCATCTCCAGGGTGAGCGATGGGATGTGATCACAATGTTTCTGTTGGGAGGTAAACATCAGATGGTTTGTTATCAGAAAAGTTGTCCATCTAAACCTGTGTTTCCTCCTTGGGGGGGTCAGGGGCCGGGGCCGTTCCAGAGGGAGGCCAGGTTGGTTTTCTGTCAACATTCTCCTTCTGGGACGGTTCATTCTAGAAACATTCCTGAGTGGCTTGAGGCTTGCACCTGTGCCACAGTGGATGCATGTGGTTTAGATACAAATAGCAGCTGATGTCACCGCCTGGCCCGTCCGCATGTCAGGGTCTCTTTAAAAGTGTGGAAGATATTTGTGGAAATAAACTCTGATCTTTAGAAACAATAAAAGCCTGATGGAAAACAGGAAAATGTTGAGTTCTCAACATGCAGCGTTCCTGGTCATACTGGCTAGAAATATTATGGTTTGTAGTGAGATGGAATGACAGCAAAGTGTTTTGTTATGTTAGTTATACCAACACTATTGGGCAGCTTACCATCATCTCAGATGGAAATTCACTGACAAATTAGAAAATAGATTCTTCTTTACAGAAAACTGTAACTTTGAAAAAGATTTACACTGTTTTGCTTTTTTTAATGTTTCAATTCACCAAACGGATTTTCAAATAAGAGAAATAAAACCAAAGCAAATGGGAAAAAGCTGATTTTAAGTTGTGTAACTATTTATTAATTTAAAAAAAAAACAATCCTGTGTTAAAACAACAATTGCCCTCTAAAACCTGTTTACTGCTGATGCCGTGTGTGGCGGTGGCAGCTGCCATCACGGATCCGCAGCAACGGGACACGAGTCGTTTACATCACTGAGGAGGAACGTTAACTCTGCAGATCTGTTCAGTCATATCAGAGGGTTTTCAAGCATCCATGGCTGTCATAAAGTCCTGGTGGAATTATTTGAACTGCATTTAAATCCAGACTTTGACTAGACCCACCCAATAGAGGTGGACTTCCTGGTGTTCTTGGAGTTTGCTTAAGGTTACAAACAAATGTTTAGGTTTTCTCCTTTAGGATTTATGTGGTGGACAACAGAATTTATGGTCCCATCAAATACAGTATCTGAGCTTCCATTACAAACACACACAAGACTTTGTTGATTTTGCCACTTCAGTGTTTACATTAAATAAGAAATATAATCAAAGTCACATGTTGATAAGTTTGTTCACCTGATAAGTCTTTCAAAAACATTCTCCTCCAACTTCCCGTTGTCTTTTCCAGTTGTTAATCATGTGCAACATCCAGTTGTTGATCATGTGCTTTGTGTGATGTGAAAACTGCAATTTAGAGAAATATACTCATTTGGATACAGCTGAAAAAACCCCGCCTTAAAACGCACAAAAACTATTATTGAAAAACTTTGGTGTGTTTCCATTATGCAAATTTGTTTTTGTTTTTCCAATTTGCCTCCAATTTACAGTGACTGGAAACACAGCGAGTGAATCATGCAGGTCCTGAAGCCACAGAGCAGCCCAGACCATCACACTGCCACCACCGTGTTTGAATGTCTCTATGATCTTTTCTATGAAATGCTGTTAATTTTACAACAGATGTAACAGGATGCAGACCTTCTAACAAGTGCCAAAAATATTTTGAGAAAAGCTAAGAAATGCTTCATCTTCCAGAGCGATACTAAAGGAAAAACCTTGATGGTTACGAGACAATCTTCAACGGAATATTCAAAGTTTTCACATTTACGGACCACACAGGCACACCGTCTGAATCGACGCCAACTCCTCTTGTGTTTGGATTCATTTGCGAGGCTAATTCCCCAGAGTTACTGAGGCTAACATGAGAAGAGATAAGTAACCCCAGTGTGACGGGGTTAGTGTTTTTCTATATTTAGGGAAAGACCTCAGGAACTAAATAAAAGTGTAGTTCTATGGCTGGCTGGACCCAGTGACCGAACACCTGTTGTGTCAGTGGACACTCAGAGCTCTGTTTGAGAGCAGTGATGAGAGAGGAATGAGATGGTTAAGAAATGACGGAGGAGAGAGGAAAGCCCGGAGGTCAGACGACACGCTAGAACTGAAACATCTCATAGAATCTGAAAGCAGCTGATTTAAAGTGCTGAAGCAAAGGGATTCTTCCTGCAGCAAACTCTCCAGCTTCTGGTCTGTCAAACACGACTGAATGTAGCATCTCCCCTCGCTGCCATGTTTGGTCAGGAACATCCTGCCCTGAGGGCCTCTCAGTCGCTGGTGGAAAGTAAACACAAGACGATAAGAATCTTTTTTTTTTTCCAGCTAACTGCAACATCAGAACCCACCCACACACATACACATACACGCACGCACACACACCCCACACACACACACACACACACACACACCCGCACACACAGATCACATTCACAACAAACGCTGTCCAACCTTCCTCAACTATGAGACTCAGTGTGGTTAGGAGGGTCGACAGTGGATGGATACAGGAACATTTGAAACGTGTCTCAGAGAAAAGGTTTCTGGGAGTTCTGGAAAGCTCATGTCACACTTTCCATGTCACACATCATGTAAATTAGTAGACTAATCTACATTAGGAACTATGACTAAAAATAAATAAACAGGTTTAATTAAAAAAAAGATATGTTTTCATTTTTTGAAGTTTCAAATTGGAATTGTTCAGATATGAACACAAACTGATTGTAGCCAGACAGCAAAAGACATCGACTGACCATCTGTGTATTTTTAACCCATGATGGTGAAAAAGAAGCTGCGTGTGCGTGCGTGAGCGCGTGTGTGTGCGTGAGCGCGTGTGTGTGCGTGAGCGCGTGTGTGTGTTAGGAGTGTTTGGAGTTGTGAATGAACAGCCACAAGCAGTGTGTATTTATAGTCTGAATTCACATCCAGTATTTTAGCAGTGTTTAAAAAAAACCCTCAGGATGTTAGAACTCACTCCATCCCTGTAACACACACGCACACACACCCTACTCCCCCCACACACTTACACACCCTACTCCCCCCACACACTTACACACACCCACGCACACAGCAGTGTAGATCTGCTGTGTGATGTCATGATGTCACGATCAGTCTTCCTCTCGCTGAATACAATCTGTGAAGCACATGCTGTTTTTCATTGTTGGTTTTCTTGTTCACTTCTGTTTCTCTTCTAACTTCATAATAGTGAAAACCTAAATCTGGACGGCTGAACCCAGAAAACCGAGGGAAAAAGTTATTTCCACAAAATGAAAACACGCCAGCTGGGTTGTAATTTTATTAAAACGACGTTTCACAGAACTAAGTTGTAAAAATCATATCTGAGCAGAAATAAATTTTGCAGGTAATAAATCAGTGGAGGCGTCTGACAGCAGGCCTTCAACAGATCCTCTCTGCACTTTCATGCAAGGTTATTTATAGTCAGATGACCAAGTCTTAGTGATGTGTAGCTCAACTTGCTACGTCTGGTAACGCATTACGACATGCTCCGGGTCGTATCCGTGGGAACGCTTGGATGAGCTCTTTTTTGATGCTGCTCTGGAAATACTTTCTAATCTTCATCACTTCCTGGTTATCAGATGACATATTCCATCTGTCACAGCGAATGCTTTTGTTGTTGCCATGACGAGTTCCTCTGGCTCCACACGTTGAATCCCAGCAGGTGATGGAGTTCAGAAACGCTGCCTCTGCAGCATCCTGGTGAGACGCCTCCACTTTGCTGGCTGAACTGAAGTACAGATGGAGGTCATGAATAAATTGTTATTTGTCTGAATAGTTGGGCTTTGTGGTGGACTCGTCTGGTTTTTGTATGTTAGAGACATATTTAGGCCAGGTGAAACTCGAAGAGAGAAAACTGTTCTCCCAGAAGGGAACGAGGAGCCCCAACCATCAACAACAGGGAAAAGTGATGACATGAAACTGATGAAGAACAGACAAAAGATCTCCTCCATCTTGAAGGAATTTATAAAGAACAACATATATGAAGAGCAACATAATCAGGAGGTTGGACATACAAACCGCTCAGAAGAAAAGTTCTTTGCTGCTGCAATATGGAGACACTCTGCTATTCGCTCAAAATCCTTTTTTATGTCTCTGTCCCGCTATTGTCCAGGATGGTTCTATGTCTAACTCTGTTACCGTGAACCCGCGACACATTGACGTCGCGGGTTCGATTCCCGGTCCTGGTGACCTTTGCCGCATGTCTTCCCCGCTCTCCTCGCCCTCTTTCCTGTCTGCCTACTGTCGAAAATACGAGCCACTAGCACCGCAAAAACTCTGTGTACAACATTAAGACGTCTGAGATGGATAAGACACAAAAAAAAGAAATTCTGAATTTACTCCCAGCTACTTCCTTCTGCTTTCCTCAATCAGACTTAAACCGTTCAGAGGTCACAGTCTTCTCATGACCCCTCCAACTCGTGACAGTCGCCACTTTTCTGAATGTCGTGGATTCTGTGCTTTTGTTTGCAGTTGAAGCTTCAAATAGAGTAAAGTAATTGTTGTTGTTGGGTTTTATTGATATTTATCAAAATGGATAAACTAAATAATCAGAAGATGAAGACGAGATTTAAAAGTTCTGTTTCCTTAGAATACAGAATGCTGATATGATTATATAAAGAGAGTTTGAAAGGCTTTTAAGATGAAAAGCAGTTTTGCTTCTCCTGGATGTCAATTCTCTAAAATCACTGACTTAATAATTTAAACTAAATAACTGTATTTATTGTTAGATCTGCATTTCCTGAGTTACTTGAATGACTTGTTCTCCAGAATAGTTTGAAAGAAATGTTCATTTATAAATTGTTTATTCTGCTGATCTAACCAGCAAGGAGCCAGGATCCATCCTCATAAAATCAGAGTTTAGTTTGGCACAGCAAAGTGTTTTCTGACTCCTTTATATTCCACTGACACAGACAGGTAGATGTATATAAAGTCATGTTTAACATACAATATCTACTCTGACTTTCTGTGTATCTAATACATTAGAAAATCTGAACTAAAGTTCAGAAATGAAGCGAATTTTCATGAAATCTGCATTTGTCAAATGCAGATGATAAAGTGATGTAGCTTTTAAAAAAATGTAACCCTACACCTAGAACATCTGCTCTAGATGCTGAAGTGATCCTTGACTGTTTTATTTTGATTGTCATATTTTTATAAGTAGAAATAAATAAATAAGCCAAACCACACACACACACGGTGTATGAGTATGTGTACTCTATACATTGTCTTGTCCCCCTTAGGGGTCTAAGACTTGAGGTAATGTTTGAATCTTATAAACATGTTTCTCCTGACTTTTATCTTCTTTAGGGAGCTAAAGGTTAGATGATGGTGAAGAGGAAATCACTAAAGATAAATCCACAAAATAGCCAAACTTAATGTACAAAAAGTTGTTCCACTATTATAAGAAGGGTTTTATTCTGAAATGTCAATAAATAATTTTTAGAAGCGTTATAACCTTTGACCTGACACATTTGATGTAAAACATTAGCAATGCATGAAAAATAAGGTGAAAAATAAATTCTATCTTTTTTTCTTCTTTGTCATTTTCACATCCAGATCACTCCCGGCAGTAAAGCTTCCGGGGTCAACTTATGTGCTGGGGACATCATCCTGGCCATCGAGGGGGCCCCGGCTGCAGACATGCTGCACTGTGAGGCCCAGAGCAAGATCAAGGAGTGTTTCAACCAGCTCTGCCTCACTGTGGAGAGGTGAGGGCCAGGAGCACACATCCACACACACACACACTGACAGCTTGTCTTTGCTGACTTTGCATTGAGTCCCAAGAATGACTTTTCTTGTTGAGGCCATAAAAATGAACTGAACTGAATCTGGAAATATTGTTTACTAGGTATCTGTCCAGGATGTTAGCTGCATCCACTAGTCATATTTGTATGTCGGTATATATGCTGAAACTATCTAAGTTAAATTTGATGTCATGGATTTATCAGCTGCTGCCGTAGCAAAAGTTCCATATTATGTAAGGATTTATTTATAGTTTGCGGTAATGTTTTCTACAATTCTTCGTTAAAGTGTAAAAATGTTCAGCTGCTAATAGAATATGTTGAAACTGTGATTTAAAGGTTCAAAGACGCTGGGCTCTGACTATTTATTAAAACTCATCAGAAACATGCCTGGGAAGTTGCTTCGATTCTTTCAGTCAAATCTTTTAATCTCCATGGCAACCTTTCAGCTGTGCAAAACCCCTGGGTGGACCAAGCTCCGCCTTTGAGACGCAGCTCCCCCCCCACTCAGCTCTTTCAGTGTAGTTTGTATAATGACAGCAAACATCTGCTGCTATGCGATCTACTTCTCACATCAACACAGGTAAAGATGTTGTTAAAGGGTTAATAGAGGAGCCACGTTGTGATGACTTCCTGAAGGCGGAGTTTCAGAAAGAGCAGGAGTTCTTAAAGAGACAGAGGCCCACTTTCAAGGTGTTTAATTTTAAAGTTGTTGTCCTGCGACAGACTGGCAATCTGGAGAAAGGCACCAGCACCCCTCCTGACCCCACTAGGGACAAGAGTGTTAGAAAATGGATGGATGGATGGAAATTACAAAGTCAAATTTCTTTTAAGTCATATTGAATATATAATGTATGTTTTATAACAATGGAACATAGCATAGTTACCTAATTATGCTATAAAATGGCACATGTACCTGGAAAACAGACAATAAAACCTTTTTAAAACCTTTTTAAGGAGATCTGTGTGTAATTACCAGGAACGAATCAAGGCTGTGGTCTCCGCGGGTGGTGGAGGATGGAAGAGCTCATCCGTTTAAACTCAACCTGGAATCAGAACCGCAGGTGTGCGAGTAATATTATTTCAGTGCAACAAAAGGAAAAATCCGGTTTTAAGCTGTTTTTCTTCCTGCAGGAATACAAGCCAATCGGAACTGCTCACAACAGGAAAGCTCAGCCATTTGTGGCAGCAGCAAACATCGACGACAAGCGGCAGGTGGTCAGCACGTCCTACAACACTCCCATCGGCCTGTACTCCTCCGGTAACATCCAGGACGCCATGCAGGGCCAGATCCGAGGCCTGGTGCTTCCCAAGCCTGAGAGGTGCTCACAAATCATTTTCAGCAGCCATTGAAGACAGTAAAAAAAAAAAAATAAATAAAATTAATAATAATAATAATGATAATAATAATAATGAGCTATTATTATTATTATTATTATTATTATTATTATTATTATTATTATTATTATTATTATTATTATTATTATTATTATTATTATATAGTGTTTTTGAGTAGTTCCACTAAAAATCTCAGAAAAACTCACAAGTGGAAAATTTTAAACTTTTAAAACTCAGAAATTTCCCATTATTTTCTATAAAATAATAGAAAATAATCTTTATAGAAATTGTTTTCTATAAAAATAGAAACTTTGGAGTGTGTCAGTGTACATTTGTTAAATTCCAGTTAGTATTTTATTCTGTCAGTAGCAGGTCTGGGTCTTATGGTTGAAGATGTTTGAGGCGGTACATTAAACAAGAGACAAACGTTCACAGTGGCAATAACTGCAACTGAATCCTCTTTGTTTTCACATCCTGGGAGTTTAGCTTCGTGATACTCTAAGAAGAAATTATATTAGCATATTATCACATTATATTTATAATTGCATGTCTGAAGTTATCAAGTTATCAAAACTGTTTGAACCTCAACTTGTTAGATTTTGGAAACAGTGTTGTTGTTGTTGTTGTTCATTCCTTCTGTTTCAGACCTCAAAGTTTAGTGCTGAGTTCAGTCTCTATCAGCCTTTAAAACTTTACATTTTAGAGTTTGCTCTCTGATTTTAATAGTAATTAAGATGCAAATAAATGAGCCATAGTGAAAATGGCTCATTTGTAAAAATGTGGACATGACTGCAGGCTGGGCTTCAGTTTAGACTCTATCTTTAGAAACTCACAAAATGAATTATTCGATGTTAAGTCACAGGTTATTAAAAGTTGTGTAGAACTGAGAGTTGTTTCTATTGTTTCAGCAATAAAACTCCTCTGCTTTGGTGCCACCTAGAGGACAAACTTTGCATTCCCATAAGTTGAATTAAAACAAAGACAGAAAAACATTTTTTAAACCCAGTTTATAGATTGTTGTTTTGTTTCATAATCCATCCATCCCCTCTACCTCTAGGGCTGATGTCCTCCTCTGTTAATATTATGTCAATCAAATGTACTATATTAGTCCTCCATTATTACCCATATTGTAATACAGGTTGTATCTTGTCATTTAGAAAATAACTGTGAGAACAGCAAATAGTAAGGAATAGTTTAACATTTCCGTATGTCATAACTTCACATGGACAGCAGTGCATTCCTTTGCACTAGAAGCTTATTAGAGGAATTGATCAGAAAGAAAAACAATTAGAGATGTGATATGACATTTTAAATCTGCTCCGTCTAATACAGCAAGTCAAACATGTATTAACTGACTCAATAATTTTCTATGTGTCCAATTCAACACATCTTCCGTATTTTATTGAAGACTTTATTTCTGTCCCTGAATGTCTCTGAATGTCCCCAAATGTCTCTGATGTCCAGGCATGTCCAAGAATATCGCTGTCTGTGAATGTCTCTGAATGTCTCTGAATGTCCCTGAATGTCCTGCTCAGTCCCAGGACTCTGACCAACATCGAGGAATCTGATGTGTACCGGATGCTGCAGAGAGACCAGGACGACCCCCAGGAGCCTCGGCAGTCCGGATCATTTAAAGCCCTGCAGGAGTTCATTGACAGCGATGGTGAGACGATCCATGTCCTTCAAAATTCAGCAACATTTCTTTTTCATTTGGAAGCTTTACTGCCACTCATTGGCAGTAAAGCCAATGAGTGGCAGTAAAGCATGTAATTGTGGCATGTAATAAGTTTTCCTACTGTGTTTTATTCGATTTATTGTTTGTTACTGATTAGTTTGCTTTACAAGATCAGAACCAGGATCAGATTATGACTTCAGCTCCACTTCGCTCTCAGTACAGACAATTACATAGAAATATATACAAAAGGCAGAATAAGAAATTATTTTTGTTTTGAAGATAATTATGTATAACCGCCACACCACCATGCTGTCAGACGCCACAGCTGAGAGAAAGTGCACTGAGTCATATTATAAACACTGTATGAGCTTTATAAATTGCTAGGGCTATTTCTGACTTTTGATCATTTTGTTGAATGTCTGTGGAAACCAAATTACATGTGATGAACAGCTTCATTAACAAGTTTTGAAAGGAGAAGCTCTGGGTTTTGTGTGGTTCAGAACACCAAACGTCTGAATCACATCCACCCCTGTACAGCCGACCAACCCGTCACCAAGACTCACTCTACTGTATTCCCCTTATTAATCCAGTGCTGTGCTCTTAAAGTTGGATATTTTGTCAATACAGAAGCACTTCCCTGTACGTTTCCTTGGTTGCACAGAAAAATACAGTCATCAAATAGGATTGAAGGCGTCGTTGTGAGTCCCTGGTCCTCGATGCTCCTGCAGTCTGTGCTTTAAGTGTCATGTTTTAAGTCACGTGATCAGATCACAAGAGCTTGTTTTATTGAGAGGATTCTGTGTCATGCATCCAGGCACTCGACCCATTGTGACTCGCACAGTGAAAGCCCCCACAACTAAACCCACTGCGCCTTCAGGAAACCTGCAGAAGCTGCCTGTCTGTGACAAGTGTGGGAACGGCATTGTGTGAGTACAAAGAGAGCAGAGAATCTGTGGTTCTCATTAAGATCTGACTGGCAACAACATGGGCAAAAAGAATCAGCTGAATGATGTGGCTGCGACAGAGAGGAGCTCACACACACTTTCAATGGGATTATTGTGACGCTTTTAGGAATTGTTTTTAATTTACCAAGTTTTTGATTAAAATCTGCTACTTGTTCAGGATGTACACAGAAAGTCCTGTGGAGAAATAAACATGTAAATAAACATGAACATTAAACATTAACAATGAAAAAAAGATACGGATGTCCTCCTGTAATGAGGAATCAGGAATGTAGTTTGAGGAAAATCTGCCCTTATTTGTTCACATCCATGTCCGTTACAGCCAGGGCAAACTCCTTGGGATTTTTGGTCAACATGGCACTTTTACTGCAAGTTGTCTGGAAAAAAAAAAACTTCTGCTGAAAGCCGAGTTTCCTTCACTGCTGGCTTTCTGAAAGTTTTGCTGCAAATTCTTCTTTTTATTTCTTTTTATTTCTTAATTGTCATCTATCTCAGTTCATCTGAATATCTTAAACATGTAAAATGATCAAAAATATTTTCATTTCTTTGACAACTTAAGTGCATCAGCTCTCTTGCCCAGAGAGAGGAATATCAGGTGCGATTGGCTCCAGTGGACAGTGACAGAACACAAAACAATAATAAGAACACAAAATGTGAAAAGTGTGAAGTTTTGGAAAGGAAACAAAGATAAACATTAACTTTTACAGAAAAGATACCAAGTGACTGGAACAGCAAAGGCGAATCCTTGAATAATAATTCTTGAATGATGTTTTCACAGCAGAACAGACAAATTCTTATTTTGGTTAAATAAAAAACTTTTCATCCTCTTAAAATCTCATCTGTGTAATGTGAACTGTTATTTTACATGATTTGTATTCTCTTATTGCTAAGTAAATGTAATTAATTAGTCAGTTTAAGGGCTTAACAGTGCAAGCATCAAAACTCTAACTTCTGTGAAGCTATTATATATTTTCATGACCTCCTTTTCTCTGTTTTTGATGCTGCAGCGGGACGGTGGTTAAAGCCAGAGACAAGTATCGCCACCCTGGCTGCTTTGTGTGTGCTGAGTGTGACGTCAACCTGAAACAGAAGGGTTATTTCTTCGTTGAGAGCCAGCTGTACTGTGAGATTCACGCTCGAGCCAGAATGAGACCACCAGAGGGCCACGATCTGGTCACCACATTTCCCTCTTCCTAGATCTGTCCAATCACAAACGTCTCCTCTCAGGTCCTACATCGCTTCAGTTTTCTTCTGCACTTTGTGTTTGTGCAAAAATAACCGGAGCAGTGTGAAACCTTTTGATCAGTAAATCAGATTTTGCAGCTGACAACTGAACACTGTGTGGTGGTCATCACTGTAAATCCCACTATAAATCCTTTTTTCAGTCTTCTGGTAAAGAGTTCTGTTTGTTCTGTAAAGGGAATCTGTGTCTCATAGCGTCCATGTTGACACATTTAGAAATAAAGCAAAGAACAATGGAATGCAGCCAGGCTTTAAAGCTGCCAAACCAGCCAGTAAAATATAAAAGAAACAAAAAAAAAATTACATGTATATTTAAAGTGATTTACACTTTTTTACGCTGTAAACAAAAGGTGAAAAGACTAACATAAAAGTAGGAAACAAATCCAAAGGCACAGAGAACAAATACACAATGAAGAAAGTCCTGAAATACACACTGATATTTCTAAACTATCTTTCCACACTCTAAGCAGTTGCAGGAGGTCTTCACAATCTCTGAAAAATGACCTAAAAATATTCAGTGGTCAAGTTCTAAACATGCCTTTGCAATATGACCCCTTAATTAAACCAGCTGTGGTGAAGCAGGGATCCGTCTACCATATGAGGAGCGTTGACCCAGATGGTTCACAGAACTCTCCTACAGGATAAATCACCTCCTCCTCATACCTGTAAGCTCTCAAAATGTTTTCTCGGCCCACAGGTGAATTCTGTTGTTGTTGCTGACTGGATTCTCCTTATTGATTGATTCAACCTAAGTGTTCTTGCTGCCCACACAAACCAAAAGTCCTTGAGCAGAAGGGAAAACAATGCAGTGTGTCCTCATCCTTCAACCTTTCATTTCCTTAATGAAACAACAAACTGACCTTGCATGTATCCTAGAGGGACATGCTTGATTGAGAGAGACGTAGTGACTCCTTAATGAACGCTTCTTGATGAAGCAAATATAACACCAACATGGACAGTGTGTGTGTGTGTGCTTAAAGAGAAAGCATCACCTGCATGAAAATCAACACTTTCAATTTAAGTTTGCAACTTATCGCATGGAAAAGCCAAACATCGTCTAACGCCACATTTTATGGAGAGATGAGAGAAAGTTTGATCAATTTGTCCACAATCACATGCAAGGATGAATCATTTAGCTTTCAAAGCTAAGAGCACTGCACCAGCAGTAAAGCACGATGGTGGCGGCTTCATGCTGAGGGACTCTTTACATGGCGGCGCTTCCGGAACGTTGCACGAAGAAGAGGGACGACGGTTAAATTTGACTGAAACTGCAATTAGAAGGTAGGCAGCTGAACCGTGGACTTTGCTGGAAAATCGATCCCAAAAACACTCCAGCTGGACGTCAGCAGACCGAGGCTGTGGATGTGTGAACTGTTCCAGGTTCATGTCAGCTAACAACCCAATCTCAATGAGCTCCATCATTTCAGCCACGAAGGATGAACAGGTGGTACTCTACATGATATTCACTGAATTAAGAAAAGTCTAAATATTCCAAATCCCTAAATATCAATATAGACTTTATCATTGCATATCAGGAGTTCACCAGTCTCTATCTTCTTCCCCTATCCTTCTGCTGATTCTCTATCTCAAATCAATATGCCTCTATTCTGCATCTGATTCCATCTAATTACTGTCAAAAGGAAGTGAATTAGATGCTATCACTTGTGGGGCTAAAAGTCAAGGGAGTTTTTAGAGGACAACTTCAATCTATCTTTAAAAGCCAACAGACAAGACAATTAGTAAAGAAGGGTAAATTGACTTTACTTTCTAAGCTTTTGTTCAATTTACTCGAGCAGTGAGTGGACTGCTCCCATCCTGAGTGTTAGCTTGGTGTCGGGCAGCTGTTCAATAATGTCGGACAGCTAAAAAAACAATTATTGACTTGATGCTGAATGCACTATCAATAGCTTTCTAAAAACGGAGACCTGGCCATCTAATGTCTCGATCCCTCAGCTCCTCACGTACATGCAAAGTTAATCAGTGAGGACGTGGTCAACAGGAAGAGCTCTACAAAACCTGAAGACCGGCGTAATCACTGTAAAAGCCATTACAACTCTCAAACAATGAGGGCAGGATAGAGGAGGGGCTGAGTGCCTCAGTTTTCCAAGAAAACCTCTTTCAGGTTCCCTAGTTATCATGGCCTTCCAATCCTGCACCGCATCACTGCACTGAATGAATAAGCAGCTAGCAATTGGCTGAAACATAATACAAACTGTACTGTAGACACAGTAAAGGCAGTGAACACTTGACAACTTTGAAGAATTTCATCACTACAAATACATTTATTGAGTCTATGTGCAGAGACACCTGGATGCCATGTCAGTGCAACCCAATCAAAGCAGTTTGTTTGTTGGCCACAAGACTTCTCTTAGTGGAGGACTTCACTCTGTTCACCCACCTGGCCTCAGGTAGATGGTGTTTCTATGAGGTGCTTAAGTAAAAAGTTTGCTAATCTGGCAATAGGCCCATCCACCTGCCACCAAAATGGCCTGACCCGTCAAATGAGCCAAACCCTGAAAATGTTCTGTGGCGTCAACGACAAACACAGCAGCAAAACCTTTAGAATTCTGGGAAGAACTGGACTTGGTTGTTTCACATCCTTCAGATGCTGTTATAATATTTAGCATACCTCATTGTAACAAGTCATTATTTGAGCTACTGTTGCTTTTCTGTCCTCGCAAACCAGTCTGCACATTTTCTTCTAACTGTGACATCAAAAGGTATTTTAAGTTCCAGTCCTGAGTTTGATTCCTGTCTTTCCCTTCTCTCTCCACCTTTTTCCAGTCAAACATTTCAAGCCACTCGTTCTTCAGAACAGATTGATTCTCAAGCTAAGTTCTAACTCTAAGCATCTTAATGCGGTTTGTTGATTTGCTTTTGGATCTAACAAGCAGAGTTCCTTTAATAAAAGGGCGACTGACAATGTTCTCTAATTGTCTGAGCAGTTGGGGATATGCAGTTTATAGATGCATTATTCAAAAAAACAAACAAAAAAACTTTTTTCCAATTTGCGATCAAACAGAACAAGACCTGTAACACAGCGTCACCTTCATAAGTCATTTTTTAGCAGAAGATTTTTTTGGTTTTGTTTTGTTTTTACCTAAAACATTGGTTTCAGGTAAAACTGTTTGGAGAAAAACAGGTGGTGACTCCGAAAATAACGACTCATTATTTCAGGAAGATGACGATAAGCAATCAGCAACAATATGCATTCAAAGTAAGTTCAAATAGGGCACCCAATTATTAAAAAGCTAAATTTATTAGAGACCACTCAAAGTAAACTGCATCATCAATGTGCACGAAATTATGGGACTCAAAGAACTATTTTATTTACGTAAAGATGAAGCCTTGAAAAGCCTATGATTATACAAGGGAAATATAATAATTTGCTGATGAATTGTGTGCAAGGTCAGCCTGTGACAATAATGAATATTTTCATAGTGCATTTGTTTTTGTGTTGTTTTTGTGTGTGTGTAGTATCTGTTGGCAGTAGAAGTTGCAAAAGCTGACATTTAATCTTTTTTCTCCTTAGTTTGTTACATATTTAACATTTTAATATAATGGAAAGCAATACTTAAAAAATTTAGTCGAAATAAGAAAAGCTTCTGAGAAAACTTAAGTCACAAGCTTTTTGTATGAAAAATCTTACCATGGCCAAACTCATTTTTATTGCCCATAAAAGAGCCAAAGGGTTATTAATCAATAACTTTTATAAGATTTTTGAAACTCTTTCAAAGTTTTTTTATTTTTATTTTTTTTCCCTTGCAGCTTTTCTTTTCTGTCCAATGCTTGTACCTGCAATTTGTACTCACAGGAACATGTCAGTCTCAACAATCTGTCCACAGCATATGAACAGGAGGTCATGTATATGGAAAGCAGCATCAGCGCAGACTGAATGATCGTCCTTCAGGAGCCCATCTACTAAACTGAAGGATTTGCTCGGTCAAATTCTGTCTTTATGACGAAGAGCTGAAAGCACAGCGGAGCTGAATGAATTATGCATTCTGAACGTTCTCTTTACATGATCAAAGGGTCTGGAGAGTAAAGAGGTAGGAAAAAGAAACTATTAAATTTTAAAACGGCTGCAGTCCACATCACGTTGAAAGATTACAAACCCAAAATCCTAAAGAAAAACACAAATATAATGTACGATTTTCGCGATAAGGCTATGTTCACACAGTCGATCTCGGTGTTCAATTCCAATTTTTCTGCTGAAACCTGATTTTGTTTTTTTCTTTTCAATTAAATTCTACCACTATCAGAGCAATGAGTGACAGCAGTATCACCATAAGATCACACAATACGAAGGAAGATGATAAAAAGAAAGCAGAACCAGTAACAACAGACTTCAGAGGAGAGTTATCTGTAGAGGAGTCAGTTCGGCTGTCAGAACCAGGGCTGGTGGGATTGGGACGATGTGCCTCACTAACACACTTCCTTTATAATTTCATAATTATAATTTTCAACCATTGTTTAAGTCTGGATTTACCATATATGGGACATGTTTCACATCAACAGCGTGAAAGTGGGTTAAAATACAGCATGACCGTTCAGACTGCAGACACTTTGAAAACAATTGGATTTGTGTAAAATTTTGTACCACATATGGAATTTTTTTTTTTTCGGATGAAATTGAGGCTGCAGTGAAAAGGCAGATTTTGGTTGCCAGGTGTGTGAACTTAGCCTCATACCTACAAGAAAACCTCAAACAGCATCAACAATCCCACAATTTGCATCCAAACATAACTGCAGACGGTCCACATAAACAAGAGTTTCACCTAAAAACAAAAGACTCATTTTGCCCTATCATTTATAGTTGTGATAAATTCATGCAAAATTTCATCTTAAACATTAAAAGCATTTAAACCAGTTTTCATTGTAACATATATGACACATTTACAGTGCCCTGAATGTTTTCACACTCTTTGAACTTCTCCACAGTTTGTCATGTTATAACCACAAACTTACAGAATTTCATAATTTTACAGAAGGAAAGTGATACATTATTTTAAACGGTGCTCATTAGTTTTCCAGTCAAATCAGTTCTATCCCCTCTTGTGACAGGATGATGCTGCCACCATCATGTATCACTATGTGTTTAAGATGATGTTCAGTATCTGTTATACAGTTTGTTGGCCACAAAATTCACAGTTTGTTCTTATTTTGACCACAGCAGCTTCTAACACCTGGCCTGCTGACTTGGCTTTCTTTTAACACTATTTTCTTGCCACAGGTCCGGGACAGCTTCATCTTTGAAATGCGCATCTAATAGTTGCTTAGCAAGATATACTCCAATGTGAGAAGTGAATCTCTGCAGCTCCTCCAGAGGTACCATGGGCCTCTTTGCTGCGTCTCTGAATTCTTGTTTCCTTGCCCAGCCTCTGATTAGGTGGATTATGATGTTTTGGAAAATGTGCAGCTATGCCATACTTTTGCTCATTTTAGAATGAATAGTGCACTGTGAGATGCAGCTCTATTTATGCTGAAATAAACCAACACCACAACTCCTGTTAGCTTTTGCCTCCACTGTTTTTTTTCCAAGGCCTCTGAATTTTGGAGGCTCAGTATAAATGCTTTACAGACTATGATTTGTAAGAAATTTAATTTGTTTTACTTCCTTCTTGTGAATCTCTTTGTCTTGATCCATCCCAAATAAAAACACAGAAGCTTCTGACTGAATTTTTGAGTCGACAAATAAATACTCCCCGTGTTCTCAGAGGTTTGTTGACCTGAAGTCAGTGCAGTCCCTGTCGTCGTCTTTTTCTTTCTCTCTGTTTTTGGAGGATCTGACTGCAAGGGGTCGGTAACATTTGACCACAGACAAAAAGGCCGTCCTGTAGTTGTTGTTCATCCATCCGTACAGGATGGGATTGACGCAGGTGGAGCACATGGCCACGATGTGGAACACAGTGAAAACCAGCTTAAAGTCTTTTATATTCAGCACACTGTTATCAATGTCTATAGCCAGTTGGAATGCGTGGAAGGGCAGCCAGCTCACAGCAAAGACCACCACCATGGTCAGCATCATCTTGGTGGTCTTCTTCCTTCGCTGGTTGTCATTGCGGCCGCATATCATGTGCTTCTTCAGTTTGTTCCATATGCGGATGTATGCAACAGAATTGATGAGCAATGGTATGACAACCTGGACCACCAGCATGGAGAAGCTGTAGATTTTTCCATTCATGCTGCTGTCTGGCCACTTCTCTGCGCACACCTGCAGGGTCTCTTCGGTGGAAATGTTAAAGGACCCAAACTCCCTGAAAATGGCAAGTGGGCTGGCCAGTAAGGCGCTGAGAGCCCATGTGATAACGATGACCACGGTACACATGTCTCTGGACATCTTGGTCTCCATGTGGTGGACGATGCTCCTGTGGCGGTCCAAAGCGATGATGTTCAGAGTGATGGTGGAGACGTGTACAGCCATGCCTTGAGCGAAAGGCAGCAAAAAGCACAACACCTGACCAAACATCCAATCGTCATAGAGAAGGTAGACAAGAGTGAAAGGCAAACACAGCGTGTTCACCAGCAGGTCAGCCACAGCTAAGTTCACTATGAAGAAGTTGGTCACTGTGCGTAGGTTTTTGAATTTATAGACGACATAAATCACCAAGGAGTTTCCAGTGACTCCAAATAAGATGATTGTGCTGTAAGAGAGGATGAGGACAACTTGAACTCCAACCAGCTTTGTGCTGTCATCCAAAGTCCAGAGGTTCTCCTCAATACAGCAGTCGAAATGTTCATCTTCAAATGTAAAATGCTCCTTTTGAGTCATGTTTAGTTCATCCTCGTTCATGGCTAACAGCCAGCCTGCAGAATAAATATTCAATCATTAGTTGAACCAGAAAAGATTTCAAAACTTTGTTTTAATGAACATAAAGGCAAAAATAGAATTTGCTGTGAGCCTGAAGTTAAAATAATAGTAACTCATCAGCTTTATTCATGCCTACATAAAACATAATAAAGCTACAGAATGCAACTTTTCAAAAATCTTTTTTTAAACATATTTTTTAAATTTGTCACTATGTCCTGACATAATGATTGGACATTTTCACAGATTATCAGACACACAATCTGTGAATAGATCAAGCTCCTCCACCGCAGCAAAAATGCTTCGCTTTTAGTCAAAAACAACCAATCAGAGCCAGGAGGAGGGGCATAGCGCTGTCAATCAACCTCATGCAGGCCCCTACATTAAACTTTTGTTGTCATGAAAGCTTTTTGGCCAAATGGGAAAAATACAAGATACACATTTATTGTAAAACATTTGAAGTTATTTCTGACAACCTCATGGCCACCTTATGGCAGACTTTAATAAAAATGTATAAATATTTATACACAAGAAGTTACACAAAGACTGCTGTGATTAGCTGTTAAGAATAGCTTAATGATGTCACCAACATATGCTTTTTCACTGTTTGGCAAATGTTGTGATCTGTTTCATAATTTAGTTAGAGTTAGGCTTATGAATAACATGACAGTGCGACAGCACAGTTTATTTGTTTTTTGTCTCTCGATATAGAGGCTTTTCAGACCATTTTTTGAAACATTGACCAAAAAGCTTTTGACAGCTGCAGCAGTTTTAGTAACTGCTACCTGGTTCAAAAAGTTAGGAAATATTCAGATCTAGAAGCTCCTTATAAGAGAACTTGAAAGGATTGTCTGAAACATTTCCAATTATTAGTCAGACAGAATTTGCACAGCTCACATGTCTGTGCCTTTTTTGTATTCTTATATGTTCACTTAAAGCCCCATGTTAAAAACATCAAATACTTTGGTGAAAGTGATTTTCTTGAGACAATATTGGTGACCTGATATCAGGATTAGATCAGAACTTGAAAAATCCTGGATCTGAGCATCTCTAGCATAAACTGATCTACATTATGACTGCAGTGCATGTTACAGTTCTGTTGGACACCAAAGGGCATTTAGTACAAACATTTTGGTTTTAGTTCAGAACAACTGAGCAATGACAATCAAGAGTATTCTGCTGCGCTTTAGCCAAAAAAACAGCTGAATATTTTTTTATTTCAAAATTACTAATTGTGGTTTTTTTATTGTTTGTTTTTACATGTGGGGAATAAATAGTAAAATATAAACACATTTTAAGGTACATTATCATATAAAGCTGCTGACATTGAGGCAGCATTTAGTATGAAAATCACTCTCCAGTGATTTACTCTAAGTTGCTTCTGACAGAGAACTGTTGTCATCATGATAATTTTGTTGTTAAAAGGGCAAAAATGAGCAGTTGGGGATCTTTAAGCATGATTGGGTATGTTTGTCTATTAATGATCACACATTTCATTGGAAGAAAAATTCTTGCACAAAACTAAGAATCGTTAAAACAATTTAAAAACCCAGAATTGCCTGTTCAAGTGGACAGCAACGAGTCTTTTTAGGTTGTCATTAAAACTCAGGTCTAAATCACAGGCTGATAGCAATCTATGTGAGGAAAATATACTTTAAAATCAATTAAACTCTCACACCGAGTCCTCTAACAACTGATATGATCTTTAATTGTGTGGTCATATTATAATTAGCCCTTCAACAATTTTAGATCAAGGCAGTTTATATCCTGATCAAGACGATTGATTCAGCTTCACAATCACACAGAATTTGCTAAGAAAATATCATTTTGCCCAATAAAATTAAACTATACCCAAGTTTAAATTTTGGTACTCGCCAGCATAGCAAAAGGTTTTCGCCGTAAACTAGAACATGAGTCATGTGTTCATTTGTTACAATGAATAAATGAATGAAATTACCTCAGTGAAGCGGTGGTCCACTTAGATTCGGGCCATTGTTTGCGCTTCTTGCAAACTTTTGTTTTAATTCCACAGCTGATAAAAACGGGAATAAAACATTATAAGCCTGATTGAGCAGCAACCGAGCCGCATCCGTCTTCCCAGGGCGGTCATGGTGCGCGCAGCGGCGCGGCAGCGCGGCGCACGGCGCGTAGCGTCCCCCCCCCTGTGCGCACTGCGGTCCGGTTGGCATTGACAGTGGCTTGACTGCCTTTTGTCGCTGAGAGGAAAAAGATGAGGCTGTATGAATTACAAAGTGGAAACGAATGGAGAAATGATAGTTCTTTGCATCACAAAGGGTCGTTTTCCATACGCTCCTCTTCCTGCAAGTTTGCAAAAAAAAAAAAAAAAAAAAACTCTGAAGGAGAAGCTGATGCAAAGCCCTGAAAACCCATCAGACTGCGAACATAACAATAAATGCAGAATATGACATTTTAATGCTGCAGTGCGATATATGTGAATATATGTCAGCATGTGGTGGTAAAGCTTATTTTAAAAGGCAAAGATGTTTTATTCAAGACTTGAAGATCCTAACATTAATAACAAAATGTTTGACTTTGCCATTTTTTAATTTGAATGAAAAATATTCAAACCCAGTTTAACCCGTGTCAAGAATGCCTTGAATGGAGACTTGGTCAAAGAAACTATTTTTCAGTTGCTGTCCATCATTTCCCTCAACCCAAAAGTTTAATGTTTAATGTTTAGATCCATTTCAGAGAGGGAAACATTATTGTTCCTCACAAACCTCCAAAACTGTACTAAAAATTATTTTATATGATTGGAGTGACGCAGAATATAATTTTAAATATCATATTTTCATGATATGATATTTACTTAGAACAAGGAAAAAGCATGTTTCTTATCTATCCTCAAATTTGTCTATTTTATCATTTGTGAAACAAGACAGCAAACCAAGCTATTCAACGTTACTGTCTATATTCTGTATCATGCATTTGGGTGCGTGTGCATTGATTTATCCATCCATCCATTTTCCTCTTATCCGGAGTTGGCTTGGACAAGCCCAGACTTCCCTCTCCCAGCCACCTTTTCCAGATCCTCTGGGGGAATCTCAAAGTGTTCCCAGGAACATTGTCTCTCCATCGTGTCTCTGGTCCTCCCCTGGGTCTCCTTCCAGAGGGATGTTCCCGGAACACCTCACCAGGGAGGCGCCCAGGAGGCATCCTAACCAAATGTCCTAACCACCTCAACCGGCTCTTCTCAATGTGAAGGAGCAGCATCTCTACTCCAAGAGAGGTTGACTGAGAAACAGAGAGCCCAGACACCCAACCTAAAAAACTCATTTTAGTCGCTTGTATCTGTGCCCTCTTGGTTATGACCCAAAACTCATGACCATAAATGAAGGTAGGAAAATAGATCAACCAGTAAATTGAGAGCCTCACTTTTTGACTCAGTTCTCTCTTCATCACAACTGACCAGCACAGCAGACGCTGCACCAATTCGCTTGTCAATCTCTCGCTCCATTTATCCCTCATTCCTGAACAAGATCCTTAAACTGCCCAAAGTGGAGGTCCTAAATGACCCTTTTCTGGCTCATTTATTTATGTATTTATGTATATAGCTATAAATTTTGATATTCTTTATTGAAATACTAAAAGAAAGAACCTTAAACACTTTGATTAACAAGTTTTGCATTCATCACATTCTCTTTCTTTTGATTTTGTCATCCAGGGTGTCAGACACACACAGATCTCAGATTTTTACATGCATGTATGAGATGGAAAACAAGACAAATACACAGCTTAAATTTCTACACATTTAATTACTAACATTTACTAATTTAGATGTCTACACATGCATTTTTAATTGACAGTAATCTTACCCCAAAGGTAACTCCTTGTGTTTCCATAGCAGCAAAAACAAACAAGAACCTGACAGGTTGTTTGACATCATCATGTTGATGAGAAGCTCTATGTTCTCACTGATGTTGTCATAAATGTTCACAGAGATACAAGAATACAAGAATTCTCAGTTTGCTTCTCAACTTGGTTGGAGGCAGATCGATTCCTGAGAGACGACTTCAAACTGATTCTACAAACCATTTTAGCTGAACATCAAGTCAAGAGGATTTTGATATTTATGGGACCTTGGATTTCTTGTTACGAAGGGAGTTGAAAAGTTGTTAGGATAAAACATAAGAGGCAACGATGGTTTAGTAGAAAACTCTGAGGACAAGAGATCAAAATACTTTGCTTTTGACACTGAAGACAAAAAGGACATGGAAGATTCCTCTAAGGATGAGAAAGATACTGGCAAAACCACAACTATGGATTTGACAGTAAAGGCATCAAAAGACTTTGCTGCTTTTGGAAGTATCAATGTTCCTCATGACCAAATGGACCTGGATGTGAAACCAAACTGTGACAGCAAGTAAATTGTGACATATTTTGAAGAAATTTCTGAGGATTCATCATCAGAAGAATCCTCTTCAGCAGAAGAAAACTCACAAGATGAAATTCAAAATAACAGATGTTTCGACAGCGTGAATTTTAAGCTTGAGCCAAACATGTACTTTTGCAAATTTTCCAACTCATTCTTCAACTGTTGCATGAATGCCACAATAAGTAGCATCATGAACTTGAATATTACCAGAAGGTCTGGCTCAGTATCCGGACCTTTTACAGAGACGCCATTGTTTGCAAGATTTTTCTTTACAGCAATGTATCATCCAGGAAGATATTTTCTCTAGATGAAGTCTTTGCAGTTCAGAATGAAATAATTGAAACACTGAAGATGAAGGATGTCGTACATCAGGACAAGCCAGGAGTCTTTTTGTTTTATATGTTACACTATCTGACCCAATATGTCATTAACACAGACTGTGAGCTGTACACAGCTGACTATTGTGAACAATGTCAGAAGTCTTCATGTGTTATTTGTAACCTTGGTCCTGTCATTCACCTCCCAAAGGAACAACAAGAGGACACTACAACTACTCTAAGTTGTTATATGTGTGAAAAATGTTGTGACACCTGCAACTCCAACATAAAGACAGAATACTTTTTCAAAGACACTGATGTGATGACTCTGATACTCCCGTGGTCAGACAGTCCAGATGATTTAAGATATCCTGTGATTCCTGACCCATCCATGCATCCATCCATCGTCTTCCGCTTATCTGGGGTCGGGTCACAGGAGTAGCAGCTTAAGAAGGGAGACCCAGACTTCCCTCTCCCCAGCCACTTCTTCCAGCCAAGGCTTTCTCAGGCCAGCCGAGAGACGTCGTCCCTCCAGCATGTCCTGGGTCTTCCCCGGGGCTTCCTCCCACATCACTAGGGAGGCATCCAGGAGGCATCCTGACTAGATGCCAAGCCACCTCAACTGGCTCCTCTTGATGTGGAGGAACAGCGGCTCTACTTTGAGTCGCTCCCTAATGACCGAGCTTCTCACCCTATCTCTAAAGTAGAGCCCAGCCACCCTACGGAGAAAATCCATTTCGGCAGCCTGTTCTTTCAGTCAAGACCCAAAGCTCACGACCATAAATGTGACCCAGTGCTTGAAATTCCTGTATATAATGGAACTCAGTCATTTGCTGGTGACAAGCAACAACTTCTGACACCAGCATCCTTTGCTCATATCTGATGTGTGGGCAACTAATGCTTGTCAGAGTTCTGGTCACAAGGTTGTCAGTGCCTGTTTTGGGGTCATCCCTAGAATCAACTCATGGACACCAGAAGGGAGGGAAACTGCCAAGCTGAAAATAGGAATCTACCAGGTCATTTTGGTCTGTAGGACGCTGGAAGCAGCTGATGGTTACTGGCAGTCTAAGTGGCATGCAGCTCAGATGGTCACTGAGGCAAAAACTGGAAGAAGTGGCTGGGGAGAGGGAAGTCTGGGTCTCCCTTCTTAAGCTGCTACTTCTGTGACCCGACCCCGGATAAGCGGAAGACGATGGATGGATGGATGCATGGATGCATGGATGGGTCAGGAATCACAGGATATCTTAAATTGACTGGACTGACTTACAATGGGATTATCAGAGTCATTTCATCAGTGTCTTTGAAAAAGCATTCTGTTTTTATGTTGGAGTTGCAGGTGTGACATTATTTTTCACACATATAACAGTGTTCACAGAGGCCATGGAGAATGACTTGGGAGAGTACTTAAAAGATCTCCTCAATACCATTATCACATCTTCCACTGAGGAAGCAGAGCCTGGGGACTTTGGATCAGGTTGATGCCTGTATTTTTGGGTTCACTCCAGTGAAGAGAGAACCTTCCCTTCACTTACTTGTGAGGGGATGGGTTTTGACTGTTGTTTGTCAAAACTTACTTACTTGGCAAACAGCAGGTTAGATTACCCACCTTTTTTGGAGTCGTTGGAGGTGTTCTGGAGAGTGGCCTTCCTAGGGACTTCCTTGTTCTGCTGGGGGATTTCAATGCTCAGATGGGCAATGACAGTGAGACCTGGTGGGGTGTGGTTGGGAGGATCGGCCAGCCTGATCTAAACCAAGTGGTGTTCTGTTATTGGATCTTTGTGCTCATCATGGATTGTCCATAACAAACACCATATTCAAGCATCAGGATATCCATATGTGCTTTTAGAATTCTTGGGTGAAGACAGGTCAGAGCTGTCTACTGACTGGTGGTGAGTTGACTTCAATAATGGGGGACAGGGCCAGCCCAATCCTCCATGGGGCCCTACACAAAATTTGGTTTTGGAGCCCTCTATTTTTACAAATATTGTGTATTGCTGCAATCAACAGTCAGACCATTAGATCATTCTCATGCTTGCTATAAACATATTGCATCACTGACTGTGCTGTTTACATTATATTCTTCATGGAGTTCCTTGACTTTCTGTCATATAAAACAAGTTTATGTTTCTAAGATTCACCTTTTTTATTGATTTATAAAAACAAGAACTGTCTAGAAGCACTGAGCTACTGCAGACACACCAAGAGCTGGTCTCCATCTTGGATAATCAGATGCAGACCTTTGCTGAACTGACAGTGTTGTAAATTTTAAACAGAGGGACCACAACAAATCTAAAGAAAACTGTGACACCACTGGAGCCATGGAGAAAGAAGGAGACCATCTCTGGTTCAGCAAGTCTGATCATGACGAGTTTCATTTTATCTGTGCTGTAAACTAAGAGCTGTGACTTAGTTTTTGAGCTATGATAACCTTCATCAGGTAAAAAGTTCACATCTTGTCTAGAATTGCTTTGCTCATAGAAAAGCTATTGACAATTTAATACCAATCTAATATTAGAATTTTTTTTAAAGTGAAGTGTTTTGTACATAAGAGGCAGGTCTTTATAGTTTGCCACACACACTGGCATCTCAAGGGATGTTTTTCACCTCTAGGAATGATCTAAGATTTCTGCAGTTGCTGAATGTCACTAATGGGAAAGTAAAACTGCAGGGAATTTGACATTTTGCAGCTAAATTCTGCTTTAGTCATTAATAATGTAACTTAAGTAAAAATAAAACTTTCACAGAAACAAACTTACTCAGGGTTGATGTTGAAGGCTATCATCAGAAAGTATTTAGCAAAAAAATAAAAATCATTTTGTCAGTACTGAATATGACAAAATAATGTCCTTCAGGAAGAAGATTCCAGAAACCAAAGCACATATTTTGTTGTTGCTGTTGGGAAGGGAACTCTAGACCCAGTGAGTAAAGCATGTAAAAGTAACCTCTCTTAGGATTAATATCTTCCAAATAATTATTTGAACTCAAGTTCAAATTTTACATTTCTCTTTCTTTTACCCTTACATTATACAAAACTCTACATAAGTGTGAGAACTTTTTGCGATGTTTCAAGTTCTGACACAGCAACTTGACAAATAATTCACACACCTTGTATACATTCAAAAATATTGTGTTGTTCACTGGAAACTTCAGTTTATTTTCATTTGGATTTCATTTGGCCAGTTAACATGAAGAAGCTCATTACTGGGAAGTAATAGGAAAATACTGCACTGTCTTCAAAATGTTACTCAAAAACATTTCTGAAACGTGTGCCTGAGAGAGGCCGAAATCAGCTGCATTCCTTACTTACTGTATTTTTGAATATTTGTAAAAAAAATATGAAAACCTATTTGTATAATATTTTTTCCATGACACAAAATTACAGGCCAATTCAATAAATTAGAATATTGTTGAAAAGTAACTTTATTTCAAGAACTATCGGTCAGTGAAACTCATAAACTGCAGGTGTAGGTGGTGGCAGACAGTAGAGGACCCAGGTAAAATGAATGATGGAGTTTAATGATGAATAATCCAAAAGGTCCAAATACAAACAGTCCAACGACCAGGCAGCACAGCTGAGCAGTAGCTGGGGCTCAACACTGGTACTGGGGATAAGAATGGACAGTAGGCAACACACATAAGACAGAACGCCAAACTGAGGCGAGAAACAAAGGACACAGGTGGGATTAAATACACTGAGGATAATCAAGGAGACAAGACACTCCTGGGAGTAATCAAGGGGGAAGACAGGACAACACAAAGAGCACAGAGGACATAGAGACTCAAAATAAATACACAGAAAAATACAGACAGAAACACATTTAAAAGATTAACTGCACACACAGATTGATGTTTGAAAGCCTTTAGTGATGTTAATTACGATAATTGTCCACTTAAAGTTATTGAGATATAACATTTCAAATGATAACATTACATCATTTTAAATGATGTAGTCATTTAAAATGTAAATGATGAAGCTCAGATTTTATGAACCTGAGCTTCATGAATTATATGTTGAAATGTATGTTTAAAACCTGGTTAGAGATTGTCAGTTTTCAAAAGATATTTTTAATTTGACAAATTAATCTCCTCAGAAAGTATATTCTAACTTACTAAATATGATATTGAACGTAAACTATCCCCTCGTAGCAAGCACAGGTATGTTAAAATGCACTTGGGAATGAACCACATCCCTACACGCAGTCAGTGATGCATCATACTTTTAATGAAAGTTGTTGTTTGCATCTTTGTGTGCTGAGCAGGTGTTGTTTCAGCCAAGTAACAGAGGCCTGTATTTGTGCTCCTTTGCTCTTACAGAAACAGATAATCTGATTTTCACAGACGAGATGAAAAAATGAAATTACCGTCTGTAAATCCACCCAGAAACTTAGGTGCCAATTTTGAAGGCCACCAAACTGAGTTACCTTCCAATCTCAGCAGGTACCATGCACCTGCACTCTGCTTAAAGCAACTGGTGATGTCTAGACCATCACATGAACCTCTTTAGAATCAATATCAACGCTGTTCCTCATGGTAAGTGTTGAATTATACAGGCAAAATTTATTAACCTCAGTTTTTACAGACTTAAGCAGACTTATAATCATGAAATCTCATTGAAACGTTTGTCAAATAGACTAAATGAAACAGATGTTTTCACTTCACTGATTCCTCTGGATGTCAGACACAGGCTGGTTTTATTTTTTTATGCAGTATAGTTTGTAACTTCAAAAAAAAGGTTTGACATGTATTTGTGTATGTACGTGTGTGCTTGGGTGTGTGTGTGTGTGTGTGTGTGTGTGTGTGTGTGTGTGTGTGTGTGGGGGTGTGTGTGTGTGTGTGTGTGTGTGTGTGTGTGTGTGTGTGTGTGTGTGTGCCTCACACTGTGCACACTGCACTGTTTCTCTGTGCCATGTGCGTCAAACATATGATCTGTATTTGTGTGGATTTGGTACAATGTGCTGGTTTTTTGTGCCACATGCATGATAAAGAGTGGCGCTGTAGGTTCCTTTCCAAAATGTCTATATGTGTACAATTATTGGGAAGCAATTGTGCAGAATTATTATGCAACAATATGAAAAAAAAAATTTTTTATTTTCCATTTAGAAAAAAAAATTCTCATCTAATTTTTTTTCCATACAAGTGAAAATGATCAACAACTCAAGCTTTCCGATAATCATTTTTGACATTTTTTCTTTTTGATCAATATAGCCACATTTCTTTTCAGTACCAGTTATCTATCTTACATTCATGGACTCTCTCAGTTTCTAGATAAGTTGGTAATCAACATTTTGTGCAGCAGAGGGCACAACCTCCCAGGTTGCTCAGACAGGTGGACTAGTTTGCTTCCCTTCACTTATGTAATTAATATTATTTATTATTGTTCCAGAACAATGCAGCACATAATGTTCAGTGAAGAGTCAGGAAGCATGTGACGCATTCTGTTTACATTTACCACGATCACGTCACAGAGGAATGCAGTCTAACAACTTACTTAATGACAACCTGAAAGGTGTTTGATTATTGACTCTGAAAATGGTAAAAGTCATTTTGCTGACCCTCCGCTGAACCTTCATCAATGTACTCAAGTTGATGTGACTTTATTTAACAGAATGAAATCTAAAATCTACGACCTGAAATTGATGAACATTTGAGCTTAATACAATTCTAAATATATTTAAAGCAGAACAACTTCTTATTGCAAGTTATTATCCAGTCAGTACAAGACAATAAAAAAAAAGTTCAGACAAATCTAGAAGAAACCTCCATCCCTACTGTAATGGAGGGATGCTAGCAACCGAAGCATTTAACCAGAAGTTCCTGATGTGTTTTGTTTAGATTTTGCTGCACATCATTTATAGTCTATTTCACACGATGAGCCTATGAGGCCATCCAAATGGTGAAGGAGATGAGCACGGTGAGGAGGACTGTCAGCGGCGTGACGCAGCTCAGGTGCAGCATGAAGCTCACGCCGCACAGTGCCGTCAGGTAGGCGCTCATCCTGCTGAACACGATCTTACGTACCGTAGTGCAGAACTGTGCAAAACAGGAGACATGCAGATCACAAAGGGTTAGTGCTAGAGAAGCAGTGGAGGTCATGCTGACTGTGACTGGACATGGATTAACACTAGATGGAGCTACTTGCATCATGAATGATTTAGGTTCATTTCACTTTAGCTAACATAGGCGCAGTAGTCAGATTTAAAGCATGTGAAATATGAGTCCAGTGACCATGAGGACATTTGACATCAGACTGTATTTGAATTGGCACATGACAAGGTAGGATTACTGTGAATCACTGAGTTAAAGCAAAAAGCAGTGTGATCCTAACAGAGAAGACCTTCTGAACAAGTTGGATAGTTTTGATTTTCTATTTCTGTGTATAAACTGGATACTTTGAAGAAAGCCTTATGATGTTAACAGTAATAATTTTCTGTTCAAATGAATTGAACCGAATTGCAAAGCTTCTTGGCTTTTTTGCAAGAATATTTCTTTCAAATTAATTTCCCAAACACAAACATAAAGTCACATGTAAGATGATTATAAACAGGATCTATTCATATTTGCAGGTGATTCAGGGAGCAGCAAACCACATTGCCAACATCAAAAAACACAAGTTAATATAAATTTCAAAATGTTTCCAGAATATTATCTGTTTCATAAGCAGTAGTTCGACAAGTCCAAATATTGTCATCTTCCTAAAATATTGGCCTAAGTCATCTTTTTCCCAAAAGAGATTTTTTATTTATTTATTTAGTTAGTTTTGCCTAAATCACCTTTGGGTAATTTCTTTAAGTCAGCATCCTGATTCAGAAAATTTTTCAATCCCAAAATATTTACTTAAATTAAAGATTTAGTTCTAAAATAATTGTCTTAGCTTGTTAGACTTGGTAGAGCATCCTCCCTGCCCACAAGCATCACCATCTTCAACAACTGAAGAATTTAAATCAATGAGTTACAATAACATTTAATTTCCCTTTGGGATTAATAAAGTATTTTTGAGTGTAAAACTCGATGTACCTGGTATGTCTGGTAGCTGATGGCCATGCCGTATCTGCAGTACATGACATAATGTTCACAGTTGTACCACAGCAAGCTGTAGGTGACCGATCCCAGCAGCTTCTCAGCCCTCCGCGCCACCTCATCCCCATCCAGTGGAGGCTGGCTGCACACTTTGTCCATGTGGTTGATCAGGATGTCAGAGCCGTACGCAAAGTCCACCACAGTGTCCACTCTGACGCTGGCCACCTTGGTGACGACGCCCATCAGCAGGCGGTTGTTTGTCACCATCTTGGCTATTGCAGATTTATCTTTAGTGATGGCAGGCAGGATGTCTGGAATGAGATGAGCCACCCGGTTGTCACCCAGGTAAATACCAAAATGTGTGAATAACGTCCGGGGCACCTCTAGCAAGTCTCCACGCTTGTACAGGGACAGGTCATACTTGGAGTCCTCCTCCTTTTTGGAGGCTGCAAAGAAAAAGTTGAGCAGCTGGTAAAGGAACATGATGGCAGTGTGAAGCAAACATCCGGACACCAAAGCATTTATTAAAGTTGGAAAAGGGGAGGAGCTAGAGTGTTTAGTGTTGGTGGATTAAACACTGGTCAGTGTTCAGTATCTTTGGTTTTGGAGGGTTGCAAAGTAAGGAGCTTTCACTAATCAGTTTTCGGTGTGGCTGTTTCTAAACTGGAGCATTTTTTGGCCGTATTAAGGTCAAAGATCCTAATGAGAAGCTGACTGTGACCCTTTAAAGCCTCATTTAGAAGGTTGCATATTTTTATCCTTCAAACCAAATAAAGACCCTTTGTTTGGGCTGGAGTAGGGATATGCAACTGAAGCTTGCCTTTGACATTATTATTATTATTATTATTATTATTATTATTATTATTATTATTATTATTATTATTATTATTATTATTATTATTATTATTGTTGTTGTTGTTGTTGTTTCACCTTTTCTAAATTATAAAAGTTATTTATACAAGAATAAGTAACTTGTATTTTGAATTATAGTAAAATGCATCAAGTTTAGATCTTGAATTTATCCAGCTCTTTAGACACAGACATATATTATTGCTTTAGATGTTGACATTTCTACAAGTCTACAACAACACCCTGTGCCCTCATCCACAGAGGAAGGGTGGCTGACAGAGATACATGTGAGCCAAAGTTTATTTTCAAACGAAAAACGAACTTGAACCCTGATTTCCACTGGTGAGTGAGAAAACAATCTGTTGTCTGCTCCAGTACTCCTCTCTGATGACGTGGAGCTGGAACCACACACACATTCCAGCACACAGCTGTGAGGGTGTGACAGTTCTCTGTAATACTTACTCATTTGTGAGGAATAGATCTATTTTGGTGAATATTGATGTTTGTAAGGTAATGATAAGAATGTTTTGCACTCTCTACCTTCTCTGTTTTCCTTGTAGAGTATTGACAGCTATTTCATGGGAGACAGTGAGAGAATGATCACCTGTTGAGCCACTTGAGGAAACATCTGCATCTTATTCTACTTTTTATGAACTGTGTGATGCTGGAAGAGCTCTGGCTCCACCAGAACTCAAAAAAATAGGAACAAAACAAACAAACAAAAAAACAATCCAATCATCTTTGTTCTTTTCATCAGTAGTAAAATCTGGTTGTTGATCATGTGATTCATGTAAGGGATTTTGCAATATCCATCTATTTTGACACAATCAAGAAACTATCAAAATAGCGCAACAACTTTTTTATTAAAAAATGTGTTGTTTTTTTAAATTGGTGTGTTTTCTTTCATAAAATTTATTTTCATAATTTCTATTTGTGATGTTAGTGAAAACAGTCAAAACATTTCTGACTAATAATGTTCGTGCTGGTTATGTAGGAGGAGGAAAGGCTGTACATGCAATATGGAACAGCAACTTTTAATGTGTGAAAGGTGAAACCTGTTAAGCGATTTGTTTATCGAGGTGGACTGGAGGATTCTACTCAATAACAAATTCAGAGAGTCTCCTGTAAAAGATAATTATCATAATCATTGACTGGTTGTGTATTTCCTTGACTGTCTTCTCCTTTTCTCTGGTTCTGCTCTCCAGCCTCCTGCTTCAAATCATCTTGTCAAGCATCAGCATTAAAGAAGGGCAAACCTTTCCAATGGAATTGTAGGAGCGCAGTTGCTGTTGTCCTTGGTGTTTACTCAAACACCTGTACGGTCCTGCAGGACCATGTCAATGGGACTTCTGTCACATCTTTTGTGAAATAGATGAAACATGGAAACAGCAGCCTTCAACTTACTGAAAGGATCTTTTGAAAATGTTTCTTTACATTGTGCTTGTGAATGACAGACTTTTGCAGAAGTTCTCCTTATCTTCCCTCTCTGTCCTTCTTCAAGGTTAGATTAGAATGTGACCAGACTGAAAAAAGGCCGTGTTTTAGAGAAGGACTGAAAGCTGAAAGAAAATCATAAAATATGCTAGTTATAATTTCATTCTTTTTAAAGTCTCTCTACATATTTACTGGCTATTGCAGGTCACTAGAACTGCAAATCTGGGAGAGACAAACCCTAAAAGACTAGCAGCTGAAACTGTAGCAAAAGGTGGCTCCCCAAAATATTGACTCAGGGGGGCTGAATACTTTTGCACACCGCACCTTTCAGTTTTGTATTTGTAAAAAATGTTTTCAGTCATGTATAATTTTCTTTCTACTTCACAATTGTACACCACTCTGTGTTGGTCTTCAACATAAAGGTATTTAAGTTTGTGGTTGTGACAAAATAAAAGGAAGGAGGTATGGATACTATTATGACCTCTGTGGTTTGAAATCAAGCTAATTTCTTCCTAATTGCTTTGTTAATGAATTTTGATGTCGTGCTTATCAAATCTTTAAGATGATCAGCATCTAGACAGTGACTCAGAGGAGGAGATTGTGGATGTACATCTTTTTAATCTAGTCCTCTTTCCCAGACAAACTAAAGCATATAACACTTCTGTTAATCCTGCAAAATTCAATTTCATGCTCATTGTTTCGTGTTTTGGGAAACACTGCTGCCTTTCTGAGATCTTTGAAGCATTGGTTGCACTACACACTGTGTGCTGACCTAGATTGTATTAAATCCTTTCAAAAAGAATAAATAATTGCAAGAATTTGACTTCAGAGAGTTGCCATTTGAGTCCATGAAAAAGTCACTTTGACTCACAAAGCATGCCTTACTTTTGAGGAGCTGTGTGGGTGGGTGAGGGGATAACACATAGGTCTATATAACACTGTGGAGCCCTTTATAAGATATAACATTAATAAATTACAGACAAACAGCCGGCAGGTTATTTTTTTATCTATTTATCTATTTATTTATGAGGTATGCCGACAATTCTAAGACAAACAAAAACCTTCAATAAATGTGTCTCTTGTTGAACTCTAATAGCCATGCTGGACCTTCAGATGTTTCCATCAGATGTTTTTTAGGTTGGTTCCTTTAAACTTGAGGATAAATAAACAGTTGGAATTATGATATTTTACCATGTAAGTCATAACATCAATTTAGGAATCTGTTTTATTATTGGTGCAGAAAAATCTGCCAAAGTCAAACAGACATTGAACAAATTGTGTTTAAATATTTAGACTTCAGTATCCAAATACACATTTCTTTGTATGCACAGAAAGTAAGAAATGTGCATGTTGTGACATTTGGGTGCATACAGTCCTGGATTCTGCACAGGCCAATCAAAGTCTTCCACACTCACCTGTGTTTTTCTGGATCTTGGTTCAGTCACTAATTCAGCCATGTTGAAACAGGAAGGGGCGACACAAAACTGTTCCCACAAGGTTGGGAGCATGAAATTGACCAAAATGTCTCATTAGACTTAAGGGTTTTATTTAACTGGAACTGGGGAGCTGAGTGCAACTCCTGAAAAACTGCCCTAACCATAATCCCTTGGCACCAAACTCTGCACTCCATGTAATTCAGTCAGTGAAATTGTGTTTTTCCAAATCCAGACTTTTTTTACAAAAGAGGCATGAACATATCTTCACCTATAGCGTTCAACTTTAGCTGTGTGCTTTACACCACTGCTTTGCGTTGCACTTCGCGATGTAAGGTTTGGATACAGCTGCTTGATCGTGGAATATTATTACATGAGGCTGCCTTTACACGCTTGTTGAGACAACCTGAAGGCCACAGGAAATGTGTTGAGTCTCCAGAAAGTTGGTAACCTCTTCTCACAACATCTGCTAAATATTTAGTTGAAAGAAAATTTCCCAACATAGCTTAGTGCACAGGTGAGATTGTTATCACTGCATTCATTGAGCTCATAATAGTAACCCAAACTCTCATAACTATAAAGACAGTCTGCACCCCAGTCTGATTTTATATACCGGTACCACCAGCAATAGATGTAGATGGAACACCTCATATTCAGTACTTCTGCAATATTGTGTATTTATAAAGTCTTTAGTTTTGGATCTTCTAAAAAAGACTAAGTAAATATAGAGTTGTTCTGTTATGTTTCTTCCACAAAAGGAAGAAACATGACCTAAGAGGAAGACAGAACATTGTTCTTTCACAGAAACAAAAATAGTAATGACACAAGCTCACAGATTAATGTTCTGCAACCAGAAGTTGTGTGATTAAGGAGGCATGTAAATGTTGAAACAGCTTTTTCAGTAACCTAGGCGATGAATGAAAGCTTTTTAACTATTTGTTTAACGCCTGGGGAAAAATGCCTGATATGAGGAATAAGTTCACTATTTGAGTCAGAAAGCAATCAAAACTTTTTCTTCATGAAAGCTGTGGATATTGACACAGCAACAAGAAGAGCTGAATGGGGTGTACAATGTCTTCTAAGTTTTTGTGGTTGAGTAAGCAGATTTGTGTCATTTTCCCTACATTGGTATTGATTGGGCAGAGTCTTAATGGGCTTGATATTGATGCACAAATTGAGCCACTTATTTTCAGAGTTTTCTTAGTGAAAACGATGGTGAATTCATTGCATATATTGGTGGAGTGTGGTGCAGATACTGCAGCCCCAGGAGGGCTTGTAAATCTCTCACCCATGACAAGCAAGGCTCAGGTATTATCAATGATTTTATCAATAATTTCAGAGAAGAAGAATTCTCCTGAACTTTTCAATTGTAAGTTACACTCACCTGCCACTTTTTTTAGGTACACCTGTCCAACTGCTCATTAACACAAATGTTAAATCAGTCAATCACATGGAAGTAACTCAAACCATGTAGGATTAAGGCAGTTCTAAAGGCAAAAGGGGGTCCAACCCGGTACTGCCACGGTGTAACTAATGTAGACATGGCCAAGACAATCTGCTGCAGTTCAAATTGAGCATCAGAATGAGGAAGAAAGATGATTTTAGTGATTTTGAACGTGGCATGGTTGTTGGTGCCAGTCAGGCTGCTCTGAGTATTTCAGAAACTGTTGAACTACTGGGATTTTTAAGCGCAACTATTTATGTGGTTTACAGAGAATGGTCCAAAGAACAGAAACTATCCAGTGAGTGGCAGTTCTGTGGGCACAAATGCTTTGTTGATGCCAGAGGTCAGAGGAGAATAACCAGACTGGTCAATAACTCAAAGAACCGCTTGTTGCAACGGATGCATGCAGAAGAACATCTCTGGATGCACAACACTTCAAACCTTGAGGTGGATGGGCTACAGCAGCAGAAGACTGGTC